TAACAGATATATTGTGGAGGTTGTTGCAGTGACAATGGTAGTAGGGGTAGAGGCGGTGGTGACTGTAACACCCCTAAATTTAGAAAATAGCAGATAATTTAAAACTTTAAAATCCTTTAAATAAAATAACTTTAATAACAAAATACTTAAAGTTTACAAATAAAGGAAGACAATAATGTATATCAGAGTTCCAAATGAGACTATCTAATTCTTAAACAGAATTAGAACAAGTCGGATGTTACTAAAACCACCAAATCTGCCATCTTCCAAAAGTCGGATGACACCTCTAACGCCATCCTACGAGAACCTCTACAACTAAACGCCACTCATATCACACTAAGACCTGATATACATGTCAATAAGAAAAAAGTGTTAAGCTTAACGCCCATCATTTAGAACACAAGTCATAAAAGGAATATCTTTACGAAGTTCATCATTCCCAAATCAAATACCGTTTTAGTTAAATAATCAATATCCAAACTCCCCGGAAATGCGTGCAAGGCGCAAACTCCAATTCACCAACTATATAGATAATACTATATATTTAAAAGACCGAAAACATGGGTAAAGAACCAAAGGGCTTTCGGCCTAGCGGTATCGTAGCCTTTGGCTTCCTAGAAGATCAAGGGTTCAAACCTCACCAAAGGTGAGGAGGGTGTGTGAATTTATTTGTTGCATTTGCCGTATATAAATATTATATACTTCAAAAAAAATATGGGCAAAGAAGTACCCGAGAACAACACCTTTCGGTGACGGAAGAGACCTAATTCCGTCGAATGTGGGGGGAACACAAAAATAAACCACTTATAATGTTTCTTGAGTTTCATCTCGGGCCATGGATCCCCGAATATAGCTCCATTGAGCACCACCACAAAGAATCCAAAATGAACCTTGGACGTTTCAAATGTAACCCATTACATTTGTACAACCAATCCAATCCAATCAATTGAGATATTCATGAAAATGATGATAGTTCATTTATTATGATTTGAATATTTATGGAAGATGACTATGGTTCATTAATTATGATCAATACTTTATATTAGGAAACAATCAAAACTTTTATGAAATCACATATTCATCAAATTAAATAAATGATTCAGATTGAATTACATTAGTTATACAAATGTAATGAATTATATAATAAATCACCTCTTGATTTATATTATAAACATTCAATATATGGAAGAACTCCTAAGATTTAGTCCGAATATAACTTATAATAATTAATTATTAGAAATTTTAATTTTCTCAAGTTTGAAATCAAATCTTTATAATGGAATTATATATGACTATTCATACTTTATTTAAATTATTTTATAATTAAATCCATGGTTAAGTAAAATTCGACAAATAAAATATAGGCTAATTAATAAAAGTAGTCATTTTGATCGACCAAATTCACCTCATAGACATTCCTCTCCCACTTTTTCATCAAAATCAACTCCTCCACAAGTGTTCAAGTATGGAAAACAACGTTTTTTCAAAACATCCTTTCATAAGTTGCGGATCAGACACTTGCAGAAGTATTGACTGATAGACTAAGGGGCCGTTTACCAAACACTTACCCTGTAAGTTCTTACCGGTAAAATTTAACAATATTAGTTACTTACCAGGTAAGACTCATGGTACTTGTCTCGTTCTTACCGGGTAAGATTCTTAGTCCTTCTCATATTCATCCAATGAGATAATGTGACTTGATAAACGCTTACCCTGGTAAGTGTTTGGTAAATGGTCCCTAAAAGATTAATTGACGTTCCATAAAATAAAATGGTTAAAAAAATTTGTCTTATCACACTCACCAACATTTTATGAACTTTGCATAGTCTTTTCAATTTCTCTTTTCATTTATCTGGTACAACTTAAAATAAAAAGCCGTTTTAAATTTTTGGGCCTGATTGGCTACTTCTGATGGGCCATAAAACTGGGCCCAAAATTTTGGAGAAATTAAATTGGTCAATCCAATTTCCATGTATGTTGATAAAAAATCTCATGTCTTAATCAGGTTTTATATATTTTAAATTTTTTATTTAATTTAGCTTCATATTTTCTTTCCAATAATATGTATTCATGTGATTGGTGGACTGTGGATATAAATAAGACGTGGACGAGATTTTTACTGGAAGTATATATAATTACCGTGCCAATTGTATATCGTGAGGTGAAATTTTGTAGTAATCTAGTAACGAGAAATTGTGCAATATTTTGATTCGAAGAGCGATAAGAGTATTTGAATGCTACCATTTTTATTAAATATTATACACTATTAGTAGAGTTCAATACTTATTTTGTAGCTTGGAAAGTTTTTTTAATTAATTTTAAGAAGTTCAAATGTAGATTTTTAAAAAGTAGTATGCATACAGTAACATGTAATGTGGATGTCGGAAGTTATATGGGCAACACATGAGATTTAGCTGTTTAAGGGTAGTTTTGTCGTTTTATTAATGATACATAAATATTAATAGAATAAAGTTATAGGTCCATGAACATAAAAAAATGGCTTTTGGATGGTGTATTTAAAAAAATAAGTCCAAGGGTCGGTTAGTCATTCACTGAACCCCAATGGCTTGTCTGTACGGAACTCAAATCCTTTGAAATAGAATGTTAACTGTAGGGTTACATACGCGATGGTTTTTGAAATCCAGAAACTCAGTCAATCACCCTCTGAGGGTTTTCGTTTTCTTTACATCCTATATGTGTTTATAAGAGAAATTACAGAGTTTTGGAGAAAAGAAGGTTAAAGCAGAGAGAAGCATTCAAGTATTGTATTTGTAGGAGTTCTTCAACAAGTTAAGATATGAATTCAGTGCCAAACTCTTATTTAAATGCTTGATTACTGGTGTATGTGGTTGTAGGATAATTCCCAATATATACAAATGAGACCAACAATGAGGCCTTAAGCTCATTTATTTGTCACACTTAGGGGCCATTTACCAAACATTTATTCGGGTAAGCGCTTACCAAGTCACATTACCTTACCAAATGAATATGGTAAGAACTAAGAATCTTACCCGATAAGAGCGAGACAAGGAACATGAGTCTTACGCGGTAAGTGAGGGCGACGACTCTTACCACGGTAAACGCTTACCGGGTGAATTGTTGCATACAATGTCGTTTTGATGGACTAAAATCTTACCCGATAAGTATATAATAATGTTAAATTTTACCGGTAAGCACTTACCAGGTAAGTGTTTGGTAAACGGCCCCTTAGTTGATGTTACATGATCAATGGGTTTGTATTCAAATTAATATATATTGGTTTGATTTGTTGGTGACAAGTATACTAGTGCTTAGCAATAGATGTTATTAGTGTTCTTATGCAGAAATAATGAAGTAATTCGTTGAAATCAAAGTAATTGTGACAAATTAAAATAATGAACCACTTGAATTAAAAAAAACCTAAAAACAGATTATTTGACATAGTCACGTAGACATTTGTCATTTGGCATATGACCATGTAAGCGGTTAATACGACCATGAAGAATTGTCTTATAAATTGGCACGACCATGCAAGACAAGAGCAATGATAATGCATTATTTTCAACATATTTTTATACGACTGTACAATTGACAAAGTTGATTTTTGACATAGGAAGTATGTATTGACTTCTGTAGTTTGCAATCAAGCGTATTATTTGAAACCTAAATAGATGTCTATATACTTGGTTTAGTATTATTCATATACAAATTTGGGCATATTATGTGTTTTATAAGCCTTTAAGCATGCCAAACGTTTTGGTCCATTATAATGTTATAATGTTTGGATATGTGTAGAGGGGTCAGTTGTTGTCGGAATGTCAGTAATATATCAGGTGTGGCACCGGAAAGATTCACAAATTTAGAACATGTATTCTAATGGTATATTTGTACTCAATTCAATAATGATTATAGTTGGTGTCTGTACATATACAACAGATTGACCCAAATTAAAGGGCTGTTCGGTAGGAGCTTAATGAGCCATATAAAAGATATGACTTGTTCGCACAGCCATATCTAGCTGTTCGTTATGGGCTTATTCGGCCAACCTTAAGCTGAATCGCTCAACTAAAAAAGTGATGTCTTTTGTACTCGGCCCTTTATTAAGCCATTTATTCCCCTTTTACCCTTTCCATCTTTCTCCCCAAATAGAACCATACCTAACCTAGATCGATTCTTCATCTTCAACCTCACTCTCTCTCCCCCGTGCATCCCTCTCTCTCCCACGACGGTGATGGTGAAATCAAAACCGCATACATACGGCTCACCAGAGTTTCACTTCCATGCCCTCTCCGATTCTCCTCACCAGTTCCTCCACCGTGCCGGTTCTTTCTCCACCACCTTCGAAGAAACCAGTCGTCTCCCTTGCTATCTTTGTTCCCCTCTCACCATCACAACCAGCTCCCAATCATGCAATACCCGACCACCATTCTACTTCACAACCATCGTATCTCTACCATCTTCTTCCCTTCGTAGGTGATTGTAAAACCCTGAACCACCATATGCTTATATGTGCACCTTCCTTCCCCTTCTATTTTTTCTTTCTCTACCCAGATCTATGCCTACCAGTGATCTCCCTCTGCCACCGTAACTCCTCTCCCCCCTTCTCCCCTTTGCAAACATCAACAACATCCCCTTTGCCCATCAGTTGCCTTCCATTAGGTTTCATGAATTTTGTTTTCTTCAAGTCTAAGATCAATAATTTTAAAATTTATATAATTTGTATCGAACACTACAAAAATATAGACTGGGGTAAACTGGTCATTTCTGACATTCAGATGGTTTATTCAGCACGACAACCGAACAACAACTTATCTATTATTATACAGACAACTTTATCAATGCATACATCCTTATCCATACAGGTCTTAATAGAAAACGAACCAAACATCCCTAACACTATGATGGTTTAGTATTAAAATCTCATATGTTTATATGGTTATGTTGCATGTGATTGTTTAGTGTATATATATTCATAACAACAATTTTACAACAATTTGTTGTTCAAAACTATCATCTTCTTATCAAAATACGTTTTTAAAATTATATTTTTATAGTTGTACATCAAATATTATTAGAATACATATAAAAGTTGGGTATTTCATCTATCGTGAAGCTTAATTATGATTGTACTTTTAGGCTTTATATTCAGCCCATAGTTGATCAACTGTTTTCCCAAGCAAATCGACGAAAAAACCATCGTTATAGCCATCTCTCATCTTCTTGTTGAGTTCAGCCACGAACCCATTTCTAAGACCATTACAGTAGTCCAAGAACCGAGCCGTGACGTCGTACCCTTGGTCCCATCGGTCACCTTCTCCTGGCTGAACCCAATGGCTAGGTGCGTAGCCAGCCTTCAACCTCACGTAATCCGCAATCCCTTCAATCAATCCTCCTGGAGCTTGACCTCTGCCATTCCATTGCCATACGTGTGTCATCTCATGATAAAGTACTCCGGTGATCTCAGTCTTGACGTCGCCGGAATATCCCTGAATGTAGTTGGCGCTGACGTGGATCTCGTCGTTCACAGTGTAGGCAACACCATCCATGTCATCGATGAACACACTAACTCGTGCCACGTTCTTTCTGTCGGCATCTGTGTTTTGTTGGAATGTGTTCCAAATGAAGCTGGTGGATGCGGTGAGAATTTGGAGAGTGTAGTCGTGTCCGATGTCGTTGGTGAATCTAATGCCGCCAGGGGTGGCGGCAGCCGGGTTAGTGACGGTGTAGTCAACAGCGGCGATCATTTGCAGGGTAGCTAGGATGGCAAGGGATGGGAGAAAGAAGGAGATCTTGTGAGCCATTTTTGTGGTTGTAGATGTGGTTAAATGGGTTTACAAATATATATACATATATATATTGACGGTGGCCGGTGAGGGTGAACCCCTGACCAGGTCAAGACGGCCACCAATAATGGAAAAATTGAATGTGACCGACTTGCAGCTAATCGTCTTGTTCCCAGACACCATTAATGAGTATCAAAGTCGATAAAATAATGGTTTGCTTTAGAAAGAAAGTAAAACATGTTTTGATCTAGAGGAAATTCAATTGTTATTGTTTGTTTACTTTTTAATAATTTCGTTAAGAAGCAACCTCTGAATCGTTAAGAGATAAATCTTGTTTAAGAAAATAAAAGTCTGTCTCTTAATGGTTTTAAAATACACTGAATGATTTTGTATTATGTATCTCCTTTAACCATTAAGAGCCCTAATTTCATTATACACAATTACCAAACAATTATATTTAATTTTACACTATATCATGAGAGTCTTTTAATCATTCTGGCCACTTCATCATTCTGCACCAAAGATACAGAAGCTCTTGGAGTATTCTATTTTAACAATTCTAACGTTAACTATATTATTAAAATATGTATTATATTTAATAAAATACGATACTTCTTATTGGTGGGAAAGTATAAAATAACAATTTATCTCTCCATTTGGTGATTTCTCTAAATTTAGAGACTTTTAAAATATCTCTCATATATTCTCTGTCTTAAAATACAAGATAACATAGTTATTGGATAAAAAAAGTTGTTAATTTTTTTTTATTTTAGCATAGTTATTGAAGATGCTTTTGTAAAAAACAAAAAATTGATTTTCTATATTTTAATCATGTAAATAAAAGAATATATTCATTGATATAAATAAAAATATTTGTTTTATGGATTCAAATTTCATTTATAAAGAAAAAAAGTATTGTTTGAAAACTTACATTGGTTATTACTTTAATATATTTTTAATATGTATATTGATATATTATATAATTTTTTGGGTACTCGATATTAGTTTTATTTTGATCATCTTGACGAGAGTTTTTTTAATAATTAGAAGGATACTCGCACAATGCAGCGAGATACATCTCGATTTTGATGTTTCGTTTCTTTCTTCGATGTTATAATATAGTTTTATGTGGTTTTAAGAAAATAATAATGTTTTTACTTTTGCATGAGATATAAATATGAATATATCATAATAATTTGAAAAAAATATATTGATATTAGTATCAAACTAACTATTTAAAATTTCTATATTTTTGTGTAATTTTTTTAATTTAATTTGATTTAGGTTTAATAACGAAGTAATTTAATTTAGGTTTAATAATAAAACAATTTATTTTTGGTTTAATATTATAAATTTTATAAATATAATAATTAAGTATTCTGTTAGAATTTAATGATTATACTAATTATATTTTAGATTTTTTATATTTAAAATAAGATATTTATCTTGTATTTGATTGTCTTTATCTGCAGTTAGTTACACGAATTCATATATGAGATGAAATCGGATAGGGATGAACGGGTTTAAGAGGTTTAAGAGTTTTAATCAAATGCTTTATAAGATAGTATAGATTTATATTGTTAAATACTTAATAAAATTGTACTAAGGTTTAAAGCCAAAAATATATTAAAACAGAGTATAAAATGAAAATTTAAAGGGGTAAAAATGAAAATTTAGACAAATCCAATAACCAGTTGGGATTAAGTAAGAGACTTTTTGGTTGGTTTTTCAATAAGTCCTGAACAGATAAAGTTGTTTATATGAATTAATTTGTCTTTATAGATTGAGAAAGTGTTATTTGAGAGAGTTTTCTCATAGATAGAATAAACGTTCTTTTTTAATTTGAAGTAAATAAAAGTGTCAGAAGGTCTCATGTTCAAATCCAAGGAGGAACAAAAATCCCCTTGTAGCCACGGAAGTTCAAATGCGGTGACTCCGGGCTACGTGTAAAGCAGCTGGTCGCTCTGGGATTAGTCGGCGCGCACAACGGGTTAGATATATCCAGATTAATAATATTTTTTTTCTTCTATAATAATCAAGTAAATAAATTCACAGAAAATTTGTAGTTTGTTGTTAATTTTAGGATTTGGACGAATGGAAGATGGTAAAATAGTGCACATGACTTTGACATATTCAAAGTCTAGTTTTGACGTTGTCCCAATATAACTATAATTGGGGTTGGCATTAAAGCATTATGTATGGCTCATTGGTATAACATTTCAAACCATATAATATGTTTTATATTTCATAACAGAAAGAGTCATGGTCAATACAGCTATATTTTATTTATTACACCAAGTCACTATCCTTAATTAATTGCGTGTTGTTTTTCTAGTTCGGTTTAGGTATGACAACATGACGGGTTTTCTAATCCCGGCACCGGTACCGGCTCTGATTTCCACTAACAGCCCCTCGTCCTGGTCCGGTCCCGATCCCTGTTGGGTATGGGGATTAATATTTTGTCCCCGGTTTATTTTCTAGTCAAACCCCGATCTCCGTCCTTGGTCAAGACCTAATTTTAGAAAATAAATAATATATATTATTTATATGATGTATTAACAAAATATATTAATTAAATTATATATCAGGTACGGGGCGAGTCGAGAGATACACTACCCGGCCCCCGCCCCAACCCCGGTTTGAGTCTACCGAGGATCCCCGTCCCCAGGCATGGGACCGTTTTAGTGGGGAATCCCCGTCCTCGTCCGGGTCGAGTGAGCCGGGTTCCGTAACCAGTCGGGGCAAATCATCATCCCTATTTAGGTTATGTTTAACAAACTAATTGATAAATTAATTGATAATTATTAAGCTAGTTGATAATTAATAAGTTACTTGGTAGTTGATAAATTAGCTGATGAATTATATACGTTTAACAAAAACTAGCTGATAAACTATATGAAAAATGTAAAATGACTAAAAATGACATGTTTAAAAAATAATAAAATTTAACATTTCATAATGTATATAAAACAATTCATTAATAATATAATATATAAATTAATACAAACCAGCTGTTAATCGATAGATTTCAATTTAATTTATTATTATTTTATATATAGGTATGTATATATATATAATACATATATAAATGTATGCGAAAAGAAGAGAATTTATAGTGAAAAGCGT